AGGTTTTTATTCTGTTAAATTAATTAAGCCATCACAACATGGCAAATTTATGTGAATAATTTAAATTGTGAGTGTTTGAATTAGCTTTTTAAAATTATTTTAAAGGTAAGCATATGAGAGAGTTTAAAAACACTTCGCTTTTTGTGTTTTTGATCTTATTTCGTTTCCGTGAACTGTGTAATTGTAAATAATTTCCATTTACAAAATTCTCGTCCAAGAGCATGAATTGATCTAATATAGAAGTTTGTGATGATCAAATTATCAAAACATTCATTGAATTTTTTTGTTTTTGAATTGGAAAGGAGGCCAAACTGTCCCCTGGAGGTAAAACCCTCCACCTCTCCTATAATAATAAGACTGGCCATATGCTCAGATTTCCCAATGAATCTCAGAAGATTTGCCTCGCGGTAATTGTTTTTTTTTTGCCAAAAAAAGGGTAATTGTAGTTTCCAGTATAAGTCAATTAATCCTTAAAAATCCTTCGTCTCATTTATAACTTTCATGATCCTTCATAATGAATAGAGTCTTGTAATAAAAACTCTAATGGAATTTTCCTTTTTTCCTCTTGGGGGGGAAAATTATCAGGGCCTACCGTAGACATCAAATTCAAATATCCACACTACACAAAAAGTAAGATATCAATACCAAATGCTTAGAGTCTCCTCAATCTCATGCACCCAAATCATATGACTAATAGGGAGTATAACTCTCATGGATTAAAAGAGACGATACAAATATAGCTGCATTTTCCTTTCTAGCATACGCACATGAATGAAATGATAATAAGAGCATAAACAAATATCTTATATCTAATCATTAATATAAGAGCTAATTGACTAATTTGAGTAGATTAAAAAAATTGTTAAGCTAGTTATTTGTAATAATACTTATTATCTTCCCTAAAATACCTTACTAATCATAATATCAACTAAAACTATTATGGGATAGAGACATTTAATATATATACAACTATTACAAAGACTACTTTTAAAAAAAAAAGATAAATATGAAAAACAAAGTGAATTGAAGTCTTATATTTAGGATTAAATTAAATGCAAAACTAGCTCTTATATTACTTGATCATATGATTATTTGAATAACCAATTAACATACAACATTAAATAGATGGCGTCCTCAGCAACTAGCATCACACAAACAAAATTTATCATATCTAGAAAAGGGGCCATTCAGTCCCCAGAAATTTTTCTGTTAGATGAGGATGAGGCTATTCAGAGGAAAAATACTTTATAAGCATTGACACAGCTTTGACTGCCAAAGCCTGCCTGGTTATCTTTTCCTATCAGCGAATCAAGAAGGGCAGCTTCTTCCTCCTGTTAGTATGGCAACACCAAACAGAGAAATTAAAAGGTCAAACTCAAGGTTTGCCAAAGACAATGATGGTATGGAAGAATAAATCACATACCACCAAGGCATTGAACTCAGTTTCCTCATCTATAGCGCTAATGATGGCTGGGTCCTCAAGCAGTTCCTGTTCTCAGATTTTGATGTTAGAAACTTCTAGCATTTACGAAAAACAAAACTTATATCTCATGCTTTGCACTCACATTAAACACTAAACCCTTAAATGATGGGAAGGAAAATAATAAATTTCAGATTATGACTCCACATGTAAGCATATTCAAGCAAGATTATTTGGAAGAGGATGAGAATGGACATGATATTATTAGAGTTGAAACCGCAGATAAAATTATAGGAAACATCAAAGACAAGATCTTAAAACAATCCCTCGATGTGGCGTTCTAACCTTTCGAGAACTTCCAACATATAGAACATAAAATCGAATTTGAGAAATAAAGCAATGACCAAGTTGCATAGTTCAATGTATATATCCACTTACATCATCAGCAATTTGCAACATCCCATTCTTGTCCTGTACAAAGAAGAATAAAATTCAATGGTTATGCTTTCAAAAGGCATGTTCTCCTGCCAATCAGATTTCTTCTGGCAATCCAGAAACCTTTAGCAGCATATTGACGATAGTTCTAGGGAAACACTCAATTTCTTTTTATAAAGAGAACAACTATCACAAATAAGATTGAATGCAGCTGCTTTTGAAACAGTGGACAAGTTATTCAAAAACTCTCAAGCACAGAAGCTCACCTTCACAGCAACAAAAAGAAGTGGATCAGATGGTGTATAGATCATGTAGTGCGCACCATCCTGCAACCAAAGGACTACAAGTCAACAAGCGAAAAACGTGATAACTTATTTCTTAGCTCTAATAACTAAATCAGGCCAAAGATTGCTTCAGCAATTATTGATAAGTAAATGAACAAAAGCACATTAAATGAATCTTATTTATAACAAAGGCGTGATTCTTATCGATAAAAGCAATGCATAAGTCATGCATGATCAAATAAACTCAGCATTCGGGCAAAAACATTAAACAAATCACAAGAGGCTAGCTGATTGGAAACCAAGAAAAGCCTTTGCATGGCTAGCAACAAGCAGTATCATGTTAAATGCACATAAATTACTGCATGCATCTGTATGTTCATTTCATAAGTTTATTCATTCTTCCTGCTTCTAGAGGCGTTAGCAACGCTCTCTTTAGAGAAGAAAATACATAATGATTTAGAATGCTGCTCTACATTGCGTTCACACTAGCACACCCAAAAAAAAAAAAAGTTATCATGCATAACTATAACAAGTTAAACATCTCTAGATTCTGGAAAGGCAAGCAAGAGCAAGGCACCTTTGCCACCATGCTAATAAGCAAAAGAGAAAAAGAAAATATAATCATGCATAAAGAAAAAAAGAAAACACGATCACATATTTGAGTAATTTAAGGTGGTCTAGTCAAGTTACCATATTGAACCAAGTAATTTCAACACCTTCTGTTGGCAAGCCATCCACTTCTTTACCATCATCTGCGAAATAAACACCCTGCATTAATTCTTAACCAAGCATCAAAATTAGTTCTGCAACAGATTGCCCCTTTAGCAGCAACTGACTAATGAAATTGAGGAGATCACCATCCTCAACGGCTCAAGGAAAGACAAAATTAGGCAATAACTTAATAATAGCTAAGAACATATTAATTTAGTCTTCTGTTAAATAGACATGCATGGCGATGGGATAAGTGAAAAGTGAGGGGCGATAATTAGTAGTTACAGGCTTTTAGGTCTCCTTGTCAAAATCAGAATCATGAAATACAACTTTTGTTTCCCGGTAATAAACTGAATATAACTTTGTTTCTCAGACTCCTAAGATTATACAGATTACACAAATATTAGGTGTCATTGCAGAAGTAACTTAGGGAAAAGGGCATTGCCTGTGTGAAAGTCAAATATGTCCTCTTCAGAGTAGCAAAAACCACCACGTGCTGTATAACAAAATCTGATGAAGACAAAACAGAAATTTTTACCAATCAAACACACTAATTAATTTCATGGCTTTCTAGATGATGGTAATATACAAACGTACCCGCTATAAACTAGATACAGGTTTATCTTAGCTAGTGCATAAGCTGCAGCAGGAAGAATAGATTCAACTTCCTCATCACTGATCTAAAAATACAGGAGCACAATATGAATTGTTATAAAATGGTTCGCCAAGAAAAACGAGAAAAGGAATCATACACAACAAATTTGAGTTAGCAGTACTGAATAATAGGAACATCAGATAAATATACACAAAAATTAAGACTTTGACCGCAGAATACAAACTTACCGCTGACCATCCCTCACCATTTGTGCTTTTTAGTATTTGAACGGGCCTGCGGTAAATATGCATAGCCCAATATGAAGAAATTAGTAGAAGGAAATGTTAGATAAGTCATACAAGTCCAGATATCCGCTTGGAATTTTTTTCCCCCCACTTACGTATCAACAGGACAGAGCAACATACATTCATCATCCTGAGAGCTTCGGAACACTCTTCTTATGACACACTCTAAGGGAAAGTTGTTTGCAGGATCAACCTGTCATTGAAAAATTTTATATGTAATATAAGGAGTGCAGTGAAACCCCAGCCCAAAAAATTAAAAGACAACTTTCAACCGTTAGCAAAGTGCCAACTACATTGACAAGTAATAAGTACTAGGGGCACTAATGCTATGACACGAACTTAATGTTAAGGTTCTTTGTCTGCTTTTTGAAATCGAATGCTTTCGCCAAACTAGATTTCTTTTTTATTCTTTTTGGGGCATGACAGAGTCATTAACTATCAATTTATTGTGATGAGAATTCGGCGTCACGACACAGCCACATATATTTTATTTGCCCCTACTTACTTCCTCTCGGACTATTTAGCATAAGGCAAACTACTTGTACTCGCACATAGAAAATGGTAAGCTAGATTCCTAAAAGAAAACTATAATTCAACGCGAAATATAGCAAATCATATTAAAAATTAAAACTTACCAAAGTCGCAAGTCGCTTGTTGGAAGCCAGGAGAACCTTGCCTTGATCGTCTACAACAAAGCCAGCTGGTGGTTTCGGCAGTGAAGTAGGATGGTAAGCAAAAGAAGCATTGGAATTGGAACTGGAACTGGGACTGGAACTGGAACTCGAAGGCCCGTGTTCAACGACGCTAAAATCATCGACAATTTCATCATCACTCAAGTCCAACGCCCGAGAATTATCAGCCCCATCCTTGCCCTTCTTCTTCTTCTTCCTCCTACTGCCCGCCGAAGAAGAACGCTTCTTCACCGGTTCGGTCTGCGACTTGGCGGCACAGCATATGATAACCCGAACTCTGCTCGAATTGAAATTAGGAGTCGGATATGAGATTGAAGCCGGAGAGAAGAGTAATGGCTGCTTGAGGTGAGGGCATATTTGGGAAAAGTATTGGGATTTCATCGATGAAATTGGTAGTGCCATTATGGCTCACCCAATTATCTCTGCAGCTCCGTCTTCTTATTCTTCGCTCGCTTGTGGAGTGTGGACTATGGTCGTCCCGTTGGCGGCAGAAAGATCGGAAACGATACTATATTTTCGTTATTTCCTTCTTTATTTATCTGCGGTTATTTGATCAACGGCCATTGTCTCTTCATCTAAGATCCTGCGGCGTCCATGATACATGTTTCCCTGCTTACATGTTCGTTTATATTGTTTTTTTCCTTAATTCGCTTTGACTTTCAAGAGAACTATTTAAATTAATATATTTTTTAATTTGTTTTATCTATTTAACATGTAAATTCTTTTGTAATATATGAATAAATACTAAAAAATCGAAACAAAGTTGAACAAAACTCAAAGGAAAAATGTAAACAAATATTCAAAGAATAGGGGAAAACACTAAAAAAGTGAAGTAGCATTATTTATAAAATGTAAAAATGTGGCCCTCTGTACATCTCATATCTCACATTGATGATAATATTATTATTAAAATTTAAAGATATAGGTAAGATTTGTCTTTAAATTTTTATTAAAAAAATTTGGGCCAGCACCAGAGTGCAGTTTTCTTAGGCAATCACGGGGCTTTCATCCAAAATGGATTTGACGGGCTGTTCCAGCGTCCCAAAGCATTTTACTCCAATGCATGGAGCCTCTGAATTGGGCTGATTTGTCCAGGTGCTCCTTTGTGTGCTTAAAATGGGCCTCTGAATTGGGCCGACCCAACCCAATTCTACTGTCTATCCATTCAGTGTCTTGTTCTTTTTCTAAGGTATTAAAAACCGGACTGTTGAATAAACTGATCACAGTAGGTTAAAAATTAGTGGGTCAGATTAGAGTCAGACCAGCCATAACTAAAATAATATAATTTTTAATTATATGTTAAATATCTTAGATAAAATAATAATATAAAATTTTTAAATAATAATAAAAATAAGAGGCAAGATATATTAATATAATCACACTAAAGTTAATGAATTTTTAAATTTTTTATTAATAAAAATGAGCAACCTCACAGTCTTGTGATTTAAAAAAAATTATCATATATATAAATTTATTTCTCATAAAAATAAGCTATTGAAAATTAGAATTCTTTTTTTTTTGGGTTAGAAATGTGTCCTTTTTCGATATCTATTACACTTATATGTCTATGCATTAAATACAATTATAAACAAAGTAAATTATTTTTCTTGTTCGCATTTAATTTTTCATGTGACTTTTTCAGCCTTGTCTTTTCCCAATGCTTGACACTAATATTAGCATTCTTCGTCTTCCCAGTTCCCACACACAAGGTCCTTTATTCACCCTTGCTTTCCTTTCCCCTTTCTTCATCTTCTTGTTCTTCCATCTTTTTCAGGTCTGCGGTGTCTTTTTCCTTTTTCCTCTCAGCTAATTAGTTTCTCATTTTCCTTTCCATTAACGACTATATTACTTGGTAATTGCTTTCATTTTTCTTCCTCTTTCTTTCTTTTTCCTTGAGTTTGTTCTCTCGGTTTTTTTCAAGTTTGTTTTTTTTCCCCCTTCCCTACAATGGCGTGGCGCTTGGATTGGAAAGGAAAAACAGTTTAACCCGATGGCCCGCCCAACCCAGCAGGTTGCCCCAAGTTATATCCAAGCCACGCCGGTCGAGAACGGTTTGCACCGGTTCAGAGTTTCACCGGTTTAGGAAAAGAACTGGACCAATCGCCAGTTTTCGGTCGATTTTTAATTCCATGTTTTTTTCTCAGGCCATTAGATTGAGATCCATCATCTCATTGTGTTAAAATTTATTGGGTCAACAACCAATAGGGTTAGCTCAGGAGAAAAGTACTATATTTAGTGTCTGACAATATTTAAAAGATACCTATGCATGTAAAAAAAAAAAAAATCATTGAGCTAACAGAAGTAAAATATCCACAAAATTTCCATTTGTGCCAAATGCGCCCCAAATGCCACTCCATTTAATTTTTCTTTTTTCACAAGAAGAGGACTCAAAATAAATCCATAATTATAATCTCTACAGAACCATTTATCAGGATCGTATTAATAGCGTTTGTCAGAAGCGCTATGCATATCGGCTATAATAATAACCTCTACAAGTACAGCAGAATAACTACTGCTGTTATGTTTTTTCATAGTGAAATTTATTCTGGAAAAAAATTTACTCTACAGATTTATTCTACAATTATAAAAATAAATAGCAGAATCAAACAAGTTCTTAATTATTCTCACTAAATATGTTCATATTTTTAATCATTTTCGAAAATTACTCTTTCTCAATGAAATTTATTCAATCGATGTAATCTTATTTTTCTTTACATGATTAAAGATATTTAGGTAAAAAATAAGTATTCAGTACTTACAAAAAACATGTAAAATCTCCTCTAAAAAGAATAAAACAATTTTCTAAAGGCTGCTGTAAATTAAAAAGGTTCGGAAAAAAAAAGTTATATAATACACTACCTCTTATTTTTAATTAAATTATAAACTAAATCTTATATTAAGAATTTAGAATAGTATTCATCGCCAGATGATTGCGTATCCCCGTCCTTCTGCCACACGCCCACAGAAATATGATTTGGAGGTTCCAACAAAGCCGAACACTTGTACCTAAATTTATTACTAATATTCTTTCTTTATGAACTATGCAATGAATCGAACTTATTTAGTGATATGAAGATTAATTAAAGTCCAAATGATATATTAAGATTTTATCACATAAAAGGGAAGCATTTCAGGCTTCAAGTTGAAGTTGGGTATCGTTTTCCCCCACAGAACAGAACCAACCACGCACATGATGAATCGAATCAAATATAATTAGTTAGGTAAAGTATGTTTCTTAAAATATTATCATCAATCATGCATATCAAAATAAAAATCTTTTAATATGTAAAATTATTATAGGAACTAATTTGGAAAATAAATAAATAAATATAAGAAATAAAGAGGATTGAAGTTTTATATTTAAAATCAAATTGAATCTACAAATAACTCTAATATTTTATAAAATCAGTATTAAAATAATTACATCTTGCACACACACATATATATATATAAAACTTGAATATATGTACAAAAGCAAATGGGAGAAAAGTTGGCAGTGAAGGTAAGTCTGGCTTTAGACGACCCGGCCACTTGAACTGATGGATCAATTATATAAGCAGATTCATTAATTATTTAATTTGGCTGAAAGATCATAACTATTCAGCATGGCATTTTCTTAAGCAACCATTTTGTTGCATTAATATATGCATGATCTTTAATTCTCCATATTTTTTTGCTTCACTTTTAGACCTTTTTTTTCCGAATAGATTCACTTTTAGACTTTTAATCACGCACGCACTAGGGGCTTCGACAAATTTTATATAGGTAGGATAATAAATAAAAGCATATTTGAGATTGAAAGGATCGTTTATGTGCGATTGACTGGTATGACTGGTGATATGACAAAAACGGATATTTATTCTGCAGAATTGGATTATTAAAAGGTTTAACATGCTATGATGCACTTGAGCTTATGTAATGTACAGTAAGTTATATTATTTCTGATACTTAATATAAAAGTTAGTTAAAATTTTAATTTGATTTTAAATGTAAGAGCTCAATCTACTTTGTCTTCCATATATGTTCATTTTACCTCTATATAATCTATATATTAATCAATTGCATATGATTAATAAGGGGATTTTGGGAATACAATATCCATTTATTAAAAATAATCAACTTAATTAATTTTTTTAATATCCAAAAATTAGTTATCTAACTCTTATATCAAGACTTGAAAATAATATAAAAGTAGTTCTGATTTGCAGACAGTTTTAGTTAAAATAGTTGGAAGCTCAATTTCTAATTAGACGGCACTTAATGTATCCCTCTTAAATCTGTCATAATCCACATCTCTATCGGTTTTTCCTCTTTTTTTTTTTGGCCAGAACATAATTATACATATGCACCCAATTATTAGTTGTCTGTTTAATTAATTATACAATGCATCAACATGTGTATATAATATGAAGTGTTAATTATGTACCTTGCGAACGTGTGTATTATACGAATAAATATCAACACTGATAGGCACAACTTATATATGGCTAAACCAAATTAATCACTGATCAATATGTACTTGATCAATTAGTCCCTATCTTACAATAATTAATGTTCCGTTAAGCGTTGATGACGGTTGATGAAACTAACCATCGTATATACTACCTCTAGTCCTATTTATAAGAACTTGTTTATAGTCCACAAACGAGTTCTTATAAATAAGACTGGAGTAGTAGTACCTCTGCCCTCCAATACTTAATATTTATAAATTAGAAGCTAGTTAATTAATTTTCATGTATAAAAAAAATTAGTTCAGTTAGCTATTTGTAATAAACAGGTGTCTTTCCTAAAATACCTAGACTAATCATATATAAGCTATAACTATTATTTGATGAAACATTTAACATATACAGCTACTACAAAAACTACTTTAGGAAAAATGGACTGATATAAGAGACAAAGTGGATTGAAGTCTTATATTTAGGACTAAATTGAAAGTCAAACTAGCTTTTATATTAAGGACAATATGATATTGTTTGCCTTTTATTTTGGTCCTAAATACAAGACCCTGATTTATTTTATCTTTCGTATTTATTCATTTTTTTAAGGAAGTCTTCATAATAATGGTAGTTCTAATCAAATATACTTGATTAGCAACGATATTTTAGGAAAGACAACATCTATTTACTACAAATAATTAACTTAACTAATTTTCTTAATCTACTCAAATTAGTCAACTAACTCTTAAAGAAATAAGATAGTAATTAGTAATACGTTGATGAATACTACCTGTGATTTAATGTGAATGATCAGATTGGATTTTTAATTCTTCATGCAACTTATGAGCACCTGATGATCACCGCTCAATCTCCAGCCCAAAAGCATCCACATATTTCCCACTTTCTGTGGTTCATCTCTTCCTTAATTTTCACATTTAATGAACTTTGATGATGACAGGGGAGAATATAAATATATAAATGTGTGTGTGTATATATATATATATATATAAACAAAAGGATTCATATATTCGATGTCACCGACATA